CGAATTTGGTCGATTGGGCATCAAGATACCTTTGATCAAAGTTGTGTAAAAATTTTAACACAATTTCGATTTTATTCGTCGATCACCGGGTCACTATGGTCGGACTAATTTCCGGGGTTGTTACGTGTAACATGTTGTTACAATTAGATTAGTCCTTATTTATATTATTGTTTTATATTTATTTATTTTTATTAATTTTATATTAATTTATTTAGATTTTCAAATAGACAAATAGTATCACAATATACAATTAGATGAAAAGGCTTGTCAAATACTTCTAAAAACTATTTGCATTACTGTTGATATTAATATAAATTAATATAAAGGATCATGATATCATCAACTATTCTGGTAGATCTATATTTATTATATTTTTATTTTAGAAAAAAATCTCTACGGTTATAACTATAGCATTAACTAGATATAAAAGTGAATTATCATATTGTATTTATGCTTGCTCATCTAAAAAACAAAAAGAAAATGCACTTTTCACTGTTAATTAACAATATTAGAAAATTGCTACCTTTAAGTAATTTAAATAATTTAAAAATTTCAAATAACTTGAAAATTTTAAGTAAATCAGAAGCATCAAGTAGATCAGAAGCCTCAAATAAATTAGAAGCCTTAAATGATTCAGAAGTTTCAAGCAAATTAAAGTCTTCATATATATTAAAGGTATGTTTATTTATTTTTTTTTTTACTATTATTATTTTAACAATTATTTATTTATTTATTTTAAAAATCTAATACAAAACAAAGTTCAAGTTGTTTTATTTACTTTATATTATCAACAATTTCATTATCTAAGCCTTTTATTTTTAAACTATTTCATGTATTATTTCAAGATTTGTTCAAAATAAACTTACAATTGCATGTAAATATATTTGAAAAAAATCCTATACTTGGTAACCGATGAGTTTTCATAAAACTTTCAAGATGGATAATTCTGAAGAAATAACTAGCAATGCTACTGTCATTAAAAATTACTATATTATAGCAGAAAATGTTACTATTAACTAAATATATATATTCAAATTGATATAAATTTGATATTTTTATTATTGAATTAAATTGAGCAACTATATAATTTTAAAGACTTTCGGGCCTAATACAGTAGTTTTTAATAAAAAAAATAAACAGTAAATTACGTAGTTGAATTAAATTTAATAAAATAATTGCCAAATAATCTGGGTTATTTATAAGTCTGATCATAATAGAATGCTAGATAATTATATATTATTTAAAACAAATCTAATTATAACAACCTGTTACATACTTATTTGTAATAACTTAATTAGTGTTAATAAAAATAACCAAAAATTTGTATAATCTAAATTCTAATTCTAATTACTATTAGCTAATATGAAGTTGTTATATATAACTAGTTATTACAAGAATATTTATTCTATTAAGATAATAACAAATATTATATAATATTTTAGAAGAAAGAGAGTTAGCCAAAAGTTTTATATTATACTTATATATTATATATAGAATATTTCTAATTTACACCATAGGTGATTATCACTTGTAGTCAATTTGTCAATTAAAATTTAAGGTCAAGTATATTATAATAGTATTAGAAAGCAGTACAAATTTTTGAAAATAGCTAGTATTATACAGAATTATACAGAATTATACAGATTACAAAAATTATTTTAGAAAAAAATAATAAAAAGCATAAAAAATATAGAAAACAGCTATTTAAACCTATCTTAATACATTAATAAAAAATGTCAGAGATTTAATTTTATATATAAAAATATTTTTAAATCAAATAAAAACAGTCTATATTTAATATTAAGTTCTAAAAAATTTGTACTATATTCTGATACTGTTGATATAATATATAAATTAATTTGGTATAACAAAAACAATAAATTTTTTAAAAAACTATTTATATCTTAAAATTTTGTCTATAAAATCACCTTTTAAGCTCTAATAAAAAAAATTTCTTGTTAAATTTTACTATAGATAAAACCCTACTCTAATTTTTAATCTTAATCTTTAACCCTTATCCTTATCTAGTGTTGTTACTTAGACAACTCGAATAGTACTCAAACAGAGTTTGTTAGAGTTTAATACTAAATACTAAATAACTTTAAATAATATATTGTAACCTATCTTTAGTTATTAATTAAAGTTATTTATATTATTTTTTGTATATATGTATATATTTTTAGAGTAGATTTATAAGTCTAATAAAAAGTCAAACAGTTTGCCAGATACTCTAAAAGGTTTAGATATCAAAAATATACAAAACAGCCCTTATTCTGATCTTAAAAAAATTAATTTTTGTTTTGCTAAAAATTATTTGTGTTTATATATTGTAAATCACAGGTAATGATCACTTGTGGTAAATTTGAGTTAATTTTTTATATGAAATATATATTAGTGGCTATTATATACACCTCCAATTTTGCTATTCATATTCTCATCTCTGTAAATTAAAATTTGCTAAATTTTTAAAACTTTGAAAAAAGATATCTCAACAACCATCAAGTCAATTTCAATGATTTTTTTTATTTGAATTTTATTAATTTATAGAATTTAAATAAAAAAGATTTATCAAAATTAAATTGGTAGTTATCAAGATATTTTTACTTTTTTTTTTTTTTTAATATTAAGGTGAGGTTACACCTCTGGTTTTTATTAACATATAGCTTCAACAATTACAATTACATATATATATATATTAACTTTACGAACTACAGAGACTTAAACTAATTTTATCTATAATCTAAATCTACTAGAGTAGTCTATACCCCACACATATATCATCTAGCTTTGTGCTTCTCAACTAACTATTTCTAGTAACTGCATATTTTCCCCATGTCTCACATGACTAGTCATAACTTTCAAGTTGGTATATCGGATATTCGCTCCTAATGAGCTTCCAAATTAGTATATCTGCAAATATGATCTACTATAAATCTCCTAACAGATTCTATTAGTACAACTGTAATTGGTGCAGGTGACCTTTCTACAGTCTCGTATCTCAAGCCAAGAACTTGCTACCTAGTTAGGTTCACCACATGACAGAGTTGGTATTATATTGCCAAGATATCTTTACTTAAAATTTTAAAAATTAAAAATATCTATCAAAATAAAAATTGTACTAAGTTTCTTTCAAACTTTAAACAAATATATTTTAACAATCATCAAGTCAATTTTGATAAACTTTTTTTTATTTAAATTCTATAAATTTATAGAATTTAAATAAAAAAAAGTTTATCAAAAATAACTTGGTAGTTATCGAGATATCTTTATTTAAAGTTTGAGAAAAATCTAAAATATCTATCAAAATAAAAACTGTATCAAATTTTTTTCAAACTTTGAGCAAAAATATCTTAACAACCATCAAGTTAATTTTGATGAACTTTTTTTTATTTAAATCTTACAATCTTATAGAATCCAAATAAAAAAAAGTTCATTGAAATTGACTTGGTGATTGTCAAAATATCTTCGCCCAAAGTTTTAAAAAAATTTAAAACATCTATCAAAATAAAAGTTGAGCCAAATTTTTTTAAGCTTTAAGTAAAAATATCTTGACAACCACCAAGTCAATTTTAATAAACTTTTTTTATTTAAATTCTATTATCTATAGAATTTGAACAAAAAAAGGTTTATCAAAATTGACTTGATGGTTGTTAAGATATCTTTGCTTAAAGTTTAAAAAAATTTAGCACAACTTTTATTTTGATAGATGGTTTAAATTTTTTTTAAACTTTAAACAAAGATATCTTGACAACCACCAAGTCAATATCAATAAACTTTTTTTATTTGGATTCTATGAAACTCTAGAATTTAAATAAAAAAAGTTTATCAAAATTAACTTAATAGTTGTTGAGATATCTTCACTTAAAGTTTAAGAAAAATTTAGTACTATTTTTATTTTAATAGATATTTAAAATTTTTTTTAAACATTAAATGAAGATACCTCAACAACTACTAAGTCAATTTTGATAAACTTTTTTTATTTGAATTCTGCAAATTTATAGAATTTAAATAAAAAAAAGTTTATTGAAATTGACTTGGTAGTTGTTAAGAAATCTTTACTCAAAATTTAAGAAAAACTTGGTACAACTTTTATTTTAATAAATATTTTAAATTTTTAAAACTTTGAGCAAAGATATTTTAACAACTACCAATTTAATTTTGATAAATCTTTTTTTATTTTATTCTATGAATTTGTAGAATTTAAATAAAAAAAAATTATTAAAATTGATTTAATGGTTGTTAAGATATCTTTGCTTAAAGTTTTAAAATTTAACAAATTTTAATTTACAGAGATGAAGATATAAATAGCAAAATTGAAAATATGTATAACAGCTGTCTATATATTATATATACTGTATAAATAATAGGCAAAATTACAATAGTGACCTGTCACTATGGTGACTCTTATATGATTAGCCAATCATTTTTGAGATTGCTGATCATATATAAACAATTGATAATTGTGCTTTCTGTTTTTGTTTTTTTCGTTTGCTGCTTTGCTTTTCTGCTGTTTTGCTTTTGCTGCTTTGCTTTTTTGCTGCTTTGCTTTTCTGCCATTTTGCTGCTTTGCCTTTTTGTCACTTTGTTTTTCTGCCGCTTTGCTTTTCTGCTGCTTTGCTTTTCTTTGCCGCTTTGCTTTGCTTTTCTTTTTTTGCCACTTTGCTTTGCTTTTCTTTTCTTGCTACTTTGCTTTCTTTGCCGTTTTGCTTGCTTTTCTCTTTTTTTTTTTGATTAGTTTTTTCTTTTTTGCATTTTTTTTTTATTTCTTTTTCTATTCGTTTCTTTTTTTTGTTTCTTCTTCACATTTCTTTTCCTTTTGTCTTTTTTCCTTTTTTTTCTCTTCATTTTTTTCTTTTCATTTCTTTTTCTTTTTATTTAGGGGGTTTTTTTCTTTTCGTTTTTTTTTTCTTTTTGGTTCTTTTTTCTTTTCGTTTCTTGTTCATTTTCGTTTTTTTCTATTTTTTTTCTTTCATTTCTTTTCTATTTGTTTCTTTTTTTTTTTTGTTTCTTTTTCCCTATTTCTTTTCTTTTCTTTGCTTTTTATTCCTTTTGTTTTCTTTCCTTCATTTCTTTTTTTTTTTTTATATTTCTTTTTCTATTCATTTCT